ATCTGTGTTCCACACAGAGGAGCAAGCTAGCAGACTAAAACCAGAAAAATATCCCCAGGAACACCCTTGGGCCACCAAAACAAAGCTATTTTTTCAATGAGGAGGAAGTTCCATGGTGGTTTTGGACATAGAATATTATCACCGTGCCGTGTGTATTTCCTAAATTATTACCATCAAACTGAGTTCTAAGAAAGCCCCAACTGGTGAGACATCTGTCTCTGACCAGACCGCCCTAATTGTTTGACTAAAAGGAAAGAAATGATTTTAGTAATTTAGAGAAAATACCTCACACACCCCTCTAAAGCCGGATCAAGTAACTGTCTTTACTCTGTTTGATCGTGACCTTCACACCAGACCTAACTATCTGAGAATACAGACATTTGCCACGACAGCGCCTCACCACTGCCCCCCATCTGTTTCTTATGAGAGACCCGGAGATGTCAAAGTGGCGTCCGTAGGGTCTGATCCTAATTCAGAAACAAAGGTAAGGCTTGGTCCCTGGTTATGGGCTCAGCCCTATCTTCCCCTCCTATTCACAGAGCAAATCTTGAGTGTACTGGTGTAGAAAAATCATCTCATCCATTTGGAAATGGAAAGATATGTATTAAGAGAGAAAGGGGAAAATATGGGAACAGTGAAGAATTTGCAAAAATCCACCTCTCCTTAAAGAGGCCGTTGTGGGCAGGTCGTAACTTCCAAGGTAGTTGGAGGGGCAAAGTATTCATCTCTTGGTCACCAGTGGGTACAGTTTACCTCTAAGGTTTCTAAATTCACCTCTAAAAATACTTCACTTAATTAAAAGGAAACCTTCCTCTACCACTAAATATTGGGGGAAAATGAAAACGATTGTCTGTGATGTTTGAGGTGTTGTCTGGTCTCGGGGCCTGACCTGCAGAGAATTCTCTCCCAGCCCCGAGCCACTTTGTTCTGTAGATGCCTGTGGCACCTTCGGGATGACAAGGTTCTATGCCAGTGCGTGGGTTGGTGAGGCAGGTCTTGGGGAGCTGCGCACGGGCGGGTGGCAGATTTCTGATCTCTAGTTTGCATTGATCTTACGTTTAGACACAGATTCAGAAGAACAGACACTCCCTTTTCCAGTGCCTTTGGAGAGATTGCCGCTCCGTAGAAGGAGTCCTTTCTCCTCCACCCTTAACCTACAGCGCAGCCTCCCCGGGAGATCCCACTTTGACTTCCGATCCTCACCCCACCAGCCGAGCTTGCATTCCTCCCTGCAGTCTCTCAATGCACCGGGTGAGCTGAGCTCGTCTCACCTTTCCTCTTGATCTCTGTGCCATGAAGGCATCTCTGAAATCCGTTTTGTTCTTGCCGTTTGTGTGCGTGGAGAGGGCAGGGGGCTCGTCTCTGTCTGTGGCCTGCTTCCAGGAGGAGGAGCATTTGGATGATGGAGCTTTGTGGCGTTCCTGTTTGTGTGGTGTGAGGACCAGCCGTCGAGCTGCGGTCAATGTATGGTGGCGTTGGAAAGTGCTGAGTGAAGCTGTTCTTTTTGCACAAGCTGGCACCGCCATGGATAACCTGCTCTGTCATCACATGCAGTGGCACGGCACAGCACAGGCGCTAGCTGGGGAAGGCTGTGGCCTGAGTGTGGAGGTTTGCAACCCTGCTGTATCCAGGAAACCAGCTATGTCTGGGACACTGGATCGGTGCATCAAGCCCGCAGTGGTCTGATTAAACATAGACTCAAGAGATCTTTATTGAAAAAGTAAATAAAAGTCAAAACACACCAACAGCAGAATGCATCATACAAAGCAGGCAAACCAGAGAGCAGAAAGTGGAAGTATTTTCTGCAGAAGCCTGTGCTCACTGGTAGGACAGTCAGGCTCACGGCTGATATTTTTCCAAGCCAAGGGGAGGGACCACCACTAGCTGAATTAGAAACCCTTAGCTAGTCTAAGGCCCAAAGATCAGAGTGGTTGAAAAGTCTGGCCTCCCAGAAGTTCCCCACAGCTAAGCAGGTGTGACAGGGTGTGAGGCTGGTTCCGGGGAAGCTAGACTTGCTCGTTTCCAGTGAACTATAGCAAATGGAATCTGAAAATATCACAGATGCAGACGCATTCGATCTCTTCGGGACTATATTGTAATCATGGATACACATGATGCACATTTCACATTTCCAAAGGTTTCTTTTGCTTTTTATCTGATTCTTTTTGCTCATCCCACATCCTGGAATGAAGAAGGCTACAGCATGACAGTGCAAAAAGGGTGCGGGGACTTCAGGCTCTCTCTAAAATGACATTTTTCTTTGTGTTTTCACATTTCCTCTCGTTTTTCTGTGCACGACTGGCTTTCAAACATGCTTTGTTATGGAACTCTTCCACTTGTGTCTAATGTACTGAAATATTGTTACAGTCTTTGTAATGTATATTGTCTCAAGAATAAAATGAAATGTGGGTATGGAGATATTTGACAGCATTGTTCTGGTTGTATCGTTGAATCTTTAATGTGTGATGGTGTGTTTAAAGTGGTGTAAAAAGACTTTAAAAAACTTGTTTTGAAAAAGACTTGCACGAGGCGTGATTCATTTAAAAATTTTAAAAGCCCTATTCAGTTTCTACAAATTTATTTCTAAAGCTGGATATGAGATTCAGTTTTAAAACTCCATGTGTTCCGGACTCACCAAGCTCTAACCCATGACTAGGAATTGAAGTGATGACTGATGGAAACTAGACGTAAAAATCAGCCTGAGTTGGGAGAAAATGATTCTTTTGTATTTTAATTCATCCCAAAGTAAAATAAAGTAACAAAAAGTAAGTCATAATCTTTAAATTTTGTTTTTAACTCAATCATTAGTCCTTTCTAAGGTGCTTTCTTAATTCTTCTAAAACCCTTTTCATTCAGTGTATTATCCTTCAGTTGTTTTAGAAATTAGCCTAGAAGGGCTTAGTTGAAAAATTAAATGACCCTCTCTAGGGGATCCCCTGGTGCTCATCAGAAACACTTTCTAGATCAGTCCTGACACCACTGGAAGTTGCGGCTCACCCATCTTTGAACATTTTGAGACTAGGCCGCTTCCTCCACCCAGGAAGTGAGGTGGTGAAGAAGTTCCACAGCTGATCCTAATATATCTGTGAGCCCACTCCCACCCCATCGTCTTCCACCCCCACCCATCCCTTAGGGGAGATGGATTCACGTCGTAAAACAACCTGAAAAGGAGACAAAGTCATTTTTGTTTTTACTACATTTAATTCATGTCACTATTAATAATTATCAGATGTATTTATTAACATATGGATTACATCACACGTTTATATATGTCGTTTAACTGGGAAGTCACAATTAAGGCCTTTGGCATAAGCAGACTTAGAATAGTGGTGTAGAGCAGGGTTGGGTCAAGATTCAATGATCTCACCATTTCAGTTGGAGAAATTTTTCTCATTTTTAAACAGTAAGCCTTCTTAGTATGGAAACTTTAGTGGAAAAGATTGAACTTGGAAGATGATGAAAATTTAAGCTGTACAGTTGAGAATCAACTGGAGGAGGATTTATTAAATGGAAAAAAGATGTACTTTTTGTTTTGAAAGAGCAGAGGAACCATGTTTACCCAGCAAAGTAAACTAACGTGAAAAGGGCTTTGGTTTTTCATGAGTCAGGCCTCTGGTGACTCTTCAGCTGTGCCTGTGAAGTGTGTATGAACCATTTTTATCACCCTGGTTGCTGTTTCATAGCTTTGATGTGTAGTCTCTCTTTGTAGGATGCAATTTTGAGACACAGTCCACACCTTACTCTCAACTAGGCAAGTATACCTGTTGTGTTGTTGTCTATACGCATGGGGTTGGGACGCTCCGCTTCCTTCACAGGATGAATGGCGCCGCTTGTTTTATGTCAATAACATTGTGTAATTGTCATTCAAATTTCATTATAACAGTTTCTCAAATACTTAGAAAAATGGAAACAATTCCTGTATTTTTAAATTTTATACCTAAAGAAGACTACTTTTTCCCCAGTTTTCTTATACATCATGCAAAGTGCTCTTCACGAGCGCTCAACGTGGGTAAAGGTCCAAGTCAGACCAACTCTTGCAGTGTATGTCATGTTTTAAATTGAGCCGTGTTTTGGTATTAGTCCATCAAAAGAGACATGTTTTCTTATCAATGTCAATTCTGCTTCCTGTTTCTCTCTCCCATGCCTTTCACTTGGAACGACAACAGTTGACATTAAAAAGCTGCTGGCAGGTATGGAATAACCTCATTCTATTACGAATAGCAAAGACCAAAGTGCGTGGGAGGTGGTTCCTAGGTCAGTGAGTCAGCGGCCACGTCTCTGGAGTGTGTTATTGGTCGGCGGCATTCGGAACTCGGGGCCTAGTGATGTGTCCAGAGATGGGTTCTCTCTGCACCTAATATCCAAAATACCTACCCCTGCAGCAAAATACTTTACGTGTAGTTTTAGGAGTAACACGTAACTGTGTTTTTAAGTTATGAAGGAAGAAACCTGTCTCACATCCAAATCACAATCACTTGTGAAATTAGTTTATGTTGCTGACGATGGCTTCACAGCTTTCGAGCTGTCGCTGGTGCTGAGGAAGTGTTCAAATGACTAGATTTTAGCACTTCTGCCGAAGGGCTGTCTCCTGGTCTCACTCAGTGTTTTATCCCTCCTCCATCCAGGACTCTAGATCCTAGCCTCCCGCCTCAGGGTTACACAGGCATCTTAGCGCATCCCTCTCCCCTTATGCCTCTGGTGTACTGTTCTGCCAGTCACTGGGTGAAGGGACTTGCGCCTTCCAAAATCGATGCCACTTCACTCCCGGATCACCCCGTTGGGAGTGCAGTCTGAGCCAGGTAACCCCTGCTGAGTCGGTTGTGTGTCCTCCGTCTGCTTCTGGGCTCAGAGAGTACCACCTCCCAGGACGTGCCCCTGTCTGCTCACTCACGCCCCTCCGCCTTCCTGCATGGCAGCATGCACACGGGACACGATGCTCCTCACCCGCCCAGGAGTGTGCTGTGTCCTCCTTAGTAACCCCGTTCCTTCTGTGTTCCCAGCGGCCTGGTTTGCTTTCGACCCTGGCTCAGCACACTCTGACATCATCTTCTCCAATGACAACTTGACTGTGACCTGCAGCAGCTACGATGACCGCGTGGTACTGGGGAAGACCGGCTTCTCCAAGGGTGTCCACTACTGGGAGCTAACTGTGGATCGCTACGACAACCACCCCGATCCTGCCTTCGGAGTGGCTCGCATCGATGTGATGAAGGATGTGATGTTAGGGAAGGACGACAAAGCGTGGGCAATGTATGTGGACAATAACCGAAGCTGGTTCATGCACCACAACTCGCACACCAACAGGTACCCTACAGCCCCAAACCAAGCCTTCACGTTGGCTTCTGGTCAAGAGTGAGAGCCCAGGTTCAAAGACCTGGTAAATAGGCAGCATTCAAGAAGCCAGTCAGCAGCACAGGAGTGTGCTGCTCTTAGCTGGGTCCATCCTGGTGGTTTATTTTTTTGCATAATTACAGAGACTTCAGCACGTTCTTAGGCCCTTCGTTGCTATCTTCCACCCATGGCTGGAAACTAAGAATCCCCATGCATATCCATTATAGGAAAACATTCTGAGATTCTAAAATCCAGACCCACAACCTATCAGAAAAGCACTTTTGGACAAGTTACTTACTTTTTCTGAACCTCGGTTTCCAAATCCACCAAATTAGGATAATAATATTTTTCCATGCAGAAGTGTTCCCAAGATTAAATGAGGTATGCAGAAATGCCACACACAGAGGCACCTGAAATAGAAGCCACTGTTCTCTTACTAGGATTATTATCAATGCCACTGCTCAGAGTAGAAGCCATTCATTCAATTAAATCTTATGGATGCCAATTCGGTTATCTTTCTGCTTGAAGAACTCTCTTATTGTTGTATGAATTCAGAGCAACCAGTCTCTGAGGAAAGAGGACGTAGTGGTCTCCTTAGGTTTTCCTCTACCTCCAAAATATAGGCAATTATAATTTAACCCATATTATAATTTTTTCCCTGGTCCCTTTTTCATTTGGCTTGTGTTTTCTTCTTCAAATGCATTTTTCACAAATTTCCTAGACAGAGAAGTGTCTCTCATGGACCCTGGTCTACCTTATTCTCCAAGACTTCCCCAGGATACATTCTCATTGGGGTTCCTGAAGAAAGAGTACAGTTGTGTTGAGTCAGATCCAAAGGACAGTGAGCCAGGTAGTGGTGGAAAGTGGACGCCACCATGTCAGCTCTTCGGTACACTCATCACTGCCCTTCTGTAGCCAGTAGGGCTCCCAGGGCCTCCACGTCCTGTCCCCGGGATGGTGTCTGTACCCCTCCACTCAGGTGTGTCTTACTCACGATCACTTGAAGTGGACACACACACCTTTCAGGCTGATATCCAATCCTGTGGGATGAAGCTAAGTGGTTATCTGCAGTGATGTGCATTTGGGGGAACCCTCTCACCAGATGCCTGATGCCGCCACCCGTTTCCACGCCTGCTTTCCCTTTTAGCGTCTTTATTTTGGATTGAAGGAGTGATAATGACACAACAGTCACACTATGCAGAGAAACATTCTTAAAGCTGAACATGTCTGCCTGCATGCAAACTGCATGCCATTGTTGAAGCTGTGACTTAACAAACGCAATTTATAAACCTGTTTTTAGCGACTGTGTGCAGTCTATATTCTGCATGCCAGGGGAAAGAACAACACTCCTAAATTTCTGTGCTCTGCTGAGATGAGGATGAAATTCAATATTGCTAGATCTCAGAGAGGGGGAAAAAGACACATCTGATTGTCCACGCTTAATGGCTTTTGTGAAACCATCAATTGAAGCATAAGGCACAATTCTTTGTAAAATGATATTTGAATGTAGGGTCTTGAAAATCCCTCCATCACCTGCAGTATAATTATTTCACTTCACAGGGGAGAATCCTCTTCTCTGATGTTGTCATTTTACAGAGAGCCTCCAACTTCTTAACTCAAGCTCAACGAGCCAAAAATTACCATCTTTCTGGAATGAGTTTCTATTTAGTGGGGAACATAAAGCCCCAAATGCAATTTTTCATGCACGTGTTTTAGGTTCAGCTTAAGTGCTTCTTTACTTTGACTTTAAAATTAAATCATTTTGAATTTAATGCTGTTTAATTCGCACCATTTGTGCAAAGTGTGCAACAGCTGTGGGCAGAGCTCTGAGCCCACAGGCGACTTCTGGTGTCCTTGTTGCTTCGTTGCCCACTGCCGCGCTCGTGCTGGGACCTGTGTGAATGCTTCACCCGCAGCAACAGTAGAGCAGCGGGTTGAACCTCCCTGTTCTCAACACAGCGACACCCCCCCATGGAAGTGAAGATTGGTTTGCGGGGCGAGCAAAACATCTTACTCTCCTTCTATATAAAGCGCAGATATGCATACAGCACATAAACAGATATGCAGTGTATCTGTGGTATTAAAATTTTGTGTGAGGAGGAGCAATTAGGGAAAAATACGTTTTAAGGCTTCTGGGGTGGGGGTGGGGTGATAATTTTAAACAGGTTGAGAAACACTGGTTTAACCATAAAGAAGAAGCTTCTAGAAGGATGACAGGCAAGTGAAACCCAGCTGTTTTCTTTCCCACAGAACTGAGGGAGGGATCACAAAGGAGGCCACAGTTGGGGTGCTCCTCGACTTAAATAGAAAAACCTTGACGTTTTTTATCAACGACGAGCAGCAAGGGCCCATCGCGTTTGAAAACATGGAGGGCCTGTTGTTCCCAGCAGTCAGCCTGAACCGGAATGTGCAGGTAAGCACCACCCTCAGGCCAGAGCCCCCGTGGGGGTCAATCAACCCTGAACAGGGGCTCCACCAGGACAAGGAGGGAAGGAGGAGGGAAAGGACCGACGGCGACAACGGGTGATTCCTGACCAGCGTGGCCCTGGTTAGATGTGGACACAGTCAGCCTAACGCAAGTGGGGACAGGAATTCCATTCCTGGTTTGTGATGACGGGCCCTCTGAGCCTGATTCAGCTCTGGTAGAGATGAAATGCTTGAACCAGCTGCCATGAACACAGGGGAAACGATGTACCCAGAGCCCCGCCAGTGCTGAGGAGGGGGGTGTGGGACCCAGGTATCCCCATGTTGTCAGAAGCCGCGAGCTCTTCCCTGCACTCTCACTCGGTTCTGTTGGTGCCATGGGGACATCCCTGCCTGCGAGGTAGTGATTTACTCTAAACAGAAAACCACTTCTCATTCCTTCCTTCAGCACAGATCTGTTGAGGTTCAAGTAGGTCAGGCACCATTGTGAGTACTGGGTCAGTGTCTGTCAGTGAAGACCTCGTCCTCACAGAGCTCACGCCCTAGCTGTTGGAGACAGACCACACGTAATAAGCCCAGTTCCTCCGCTAATTACCTAGTGTGTTAGGAGGTGGTAAGTGCACAGGAGAGAAGACCAGGGGCAGTAAGGGGACCAGTCGTGGGGTTGGGAAGACAGCTGTGCTCCTAAACAGGTGGGCAGTGCACGTGGGCAGATGGGGTTGAGGTGAGCTGAGCCTTGAAGGGGTGAGGGAGTGAGCTGTGCCGGGCTCTCCCGGCAGGGGAAGCAGCCGGCAAAGTTTCTCAGGCATGAGGGGCCTCTTGCATGGGCAAGGAAGGGCTAAGAGGCTGTGGGCAAATGGGGGCAGCCGGGGAGAAGGTCAGAGCCACATGGGGGCCCTGCCAGCCACTGCTCAACCCGGGCTTTCACCTTCCCCTTGAGATGGAACCTCATTGTCAGCTGAGAACCTCGTCAGCAAGTGGCTGCCTTAAGACGGATAAAACTCAAGAATCAAAACACTGCTGGGGATTTGCTGTATTCAGAAGCAGTGTTGGGAGCTATAGAAAAATCCATTGTTATCAGTATGTGCAGTAAAAGTGACTGCACCCAGTGACCTCTGCCCTTCTCTCTCCCTGCAACTTGATGGGGTCTTCTGGAAGGCTGAAACCCAATCTTGCCGAGTTCAGCCTCTACTTTGGAAGAAAAAAAACATAAATTGCCCTAGAAGTGTGTCTTAGAAAAACCTCATTCAAAGTTTTCCACATTTTCAATTGTTTCCCTTCCAAGAATATTGTACTTGACACTCTTCAGGGGTTTCCTGGATGTTCTGAGTATCTTTAGATAAAGACTCTCAGGCTGGGGAAGACAACAAGAGACAAGAAGAGGGAGACAACATTACTGTGTGAAATTGTTCCAGCCTTGCCATTGAGGTAGGGGGTTGGACAGAAGGCAGTGAAGTAGTGTCAGTGCCGTGTTTCTTCATACCTTACTTTCATCGATGCAATCCCCAAATGAAAGGTTTGTCCTAGTTGGAGTAACTAGTGGACAAGCAATAAAAAAGGGTTGTCTGCTCATCTGTTCTCTATCCATGGATTTGGCAGTGGTCCCTGCAAATCAATGCCTGTGTCTTCAGTCATAAGGAATACAATCTCCTCAGAACCCTTAAAAGAGGCAGGCGGATGAGAACCATGTTGTCAAGCGTCTCCAGGATTGGGGAGCCCACCACAGTGGCCAGGTTCTTGGCACAGGCAGAATACCACTAGAATGCTCTTTAATGTCTACAAGAATAGATGCTGAAGAGAAGTGAACAGATCCCCTCTTGAATTAGGAACCCCCAGCCCCACCCCATGCCCTGGGGAGGGGACACAGGGGGCTCGTGCCAGGCCTCCAGGACTCACAGTCTCTTCCCCCAGGTCACACTGCACACCGGGCTCCCGGTCCCCGACTTCTACTCCAGCAGAGCATCAATAGCCTAAGGATGAGCTGTGGAGGCACCAGCTGCCTGTTCTTACCCCCGCCTGAGAGCGCGACAGCGAGGAGCTCGGGTCAGAGAGCTGGGAGGAGAGGAGAAGGAGGAGAGAGCTGGTCCTCTAGTCTTCACACTCACAGCTCCGCGCCTTTCCCTTCCAACCTCTCTGCAGCTGTAACGCCTGCGTTCACTTCCGTGGTTGGCAGTTGTGACCAACAAAGGACCTGGACAGCCCACCACATCACTCCGTTTCCACTCCCAGATTTTGCTTTTATTTAACTTTTTTATGTAGGTGAGTTATGTTTTGGGTTTTTTTCTGATCATGTTATTGGTGACTTACTGAACTGGCACTGTCAAGAGGAAATTCTCCTGATCACTTTCTTAAGCTTTCTGACAAAGAGCTTGTAGGGAGAGGTAGGGAAGCATGAGCTGAATTTGGAGCTTGCGGTTTACCTCCGAGAATGTTCCTGCATTCTTCTCTCTGGGGCAGTGCTGGCTCAGCATAGCTCCTCTTTGGGAGAAGGGCAGAAAGAATGTAGCACTGAGTTTTACTATCCATTGAAGCATGAAAATATCAGCTACACATTACACAAAGGTTTGCAGCGGGGTAGGATCACTGGGATACCTGGGTCCTTAGGACAGGCCAGAAACCCTGGTCACAGAATGAAATTGGAAAGTCTCTAGGTATAGGCAGACCAGGGAGCTTAATGATTTGGTTCATTTATTTAATACAAGTTTTTAATGGAGAACCTGCTGTGGACCAGGCACTGTTCTAGCCACTGGAGAGACGGTGGTAAATACACAGGTGTGGTCTCTGCCCTCCTGGAGCTTATGGAAACAAACCAAAAATAAAATAGCGACAAATTATTACAAGTACTAGAGACAAATCAACAGGAGGCAAGGAGGCTCATTGGCTAGATCTTTCAGATCCCCTAGAATGATGCTAGAAATCCACACACTGTGGCCACAGTACCAGAAATGTACCAACTCAATGCCTTTCAGCCACACTATTTTAATTATAGTACCTGCTGCTGTTCATCAGAGCCCTTCCTTGGTAGAAGTGGTGTCAGCATTCTTATTTGTTAGTGCTGCAATGATACTAAGCCTTAAAAATGAATGTGAAAAAAAAACAGTGACCAGAGGGAGGAGGACCCATCCCAGGGATGGGATCTGAAGTTGCAGCCCATGGCCCTCACATTCTCAGGATAAACATGCCTGTCTCGTGTGTACTGTCTGTGCCTGTTCAAGTGAAAAACCCATCACTCTGCTGCCATTCACAACCTGACTTTCCAGAGTAATTCAGATAAAGTTCAGAAGAAGATGAAATTGTACGTCATTTCTGACTGACAGCAGAATCAGAACGCTTACCACTTCTATGAGGAGATGGACTTCTCTAAGTCACCCTTCAGATTCTTTAGTTTGACGTGAAGTTTTAGAAAATGGAGCACCTGGAAAGAGGTTCTGAGTAGTTGTCTAAATATTTGCCAGTGAGCCAAGAAATTTACCACGAAAAAACAAGAATAACAAATAGAAGGGAAGAGGTGGGATGAGAAAGCTAACAAACAAAAAGTTTTGGCAAAAAGTACTATCTGTAAATAGCTAACGGTTTACTTTTGTGCTTCCTGGACTTGGATGACCTCCCTCGGTTGCGCTGTTTTCTGGTTAAGTGTACCTAATTTACTGAATGGGTGCTATCCTGTGTGTCCTTCCTGGTTTCTCAACACTGGTGTGATATTTGGTTTACTCTCCGCTGGGCCTCGATGGCTGGGCCACTGTAGACTCATAGTTGCTCCTGTTCCTTACGAAATCCATCCTGCTACTTAAATTTCTAGTGACGTGTAACAGAGTTTTCACGGAATTGCAGTTATAGAACAATTATAGAACAATGCATACAGCTACTGTACTGGAAAAAATCGGTATTTCTGGTGTGCCAATAAATGATTTTTATGAGAGAACATCGTGTGTCTCTTTAGAATTTCTTAGTCATTGGCTATAAGGAATGACAATTCGCCTTTGTCCGAGCAATATTTCTTCAGCAAAGTGTAATTGGGAAGTCCCGCAGGGCTCTTGAAAGCACGTGCTCTTCACCCCGTTCCCTGGGCAGTGCTGGCACCGTCTCCTGGTGGCACTGAACTCCCAAATCTTAACTTAGTATGGAACATTTAGAGTTCAGATGCTGTCAGGGTCTGCCTCCAGGCACCAGGGAGTTACTTTAACAAACCTGCTCCTCAAAAAGCCACAGACGTGCAAAACGTAGTGTCACTGACTTTTTCAAACCGGGTTCCTTCACCATTTCTTTGAATGACTATACAATACAATTGTTTTTAAATAATTACAAGTCTCCCTTACGTTGTCACTAGCCTCTTAGAATGCACTGCTTTTTTTTTATTAAAAGAAAAGCACGCCCTAAAAGTGCATGGTGTGGGTTACCACGTCAGAGCGGAACACCAGGCAGGCAGTGGCGGCTGCTCTGTGCGCCCAGGGTTCTGTGCCTTCCTCTTTCCTCATCCCTCACTCTGGCACTTTCTGTTCCTCCATTGGCCCCACCTCTCTTCTGGGTTTCCTCTCTTCTGTTCACTGCCTAATGGAACACAAGCCATTTTGGACTCTTCTTGTGGCACTAAGGCTAACGGAACTTCTGATCCCCACCATCTCTCATGGGCATGATTAAGTGATTTGCAAGAAATCATTGTATTTCCTGGAACTGAGATCTTTTGTTCTGCCTCTAATGTGTGCATGAATCTTTTGCCCATATATTCAGCTCACTCACAGGAAAGGAGGGCTTGCTATTGAATCACAATTTCTGATTATGAATCAAGGAACTATACAGAAATTAAACAAAGCTCTCAGGTCACACTGCCTCACAGTTTCTGTGAACATGCTAAAGACACTGCATATATTCTTCAAATACCTGTGCCAGCCACATCCATCGAGACTGGTGTTTAGGAAATGCTGTCATACCACGTCACACTTAACTGAGGCTGCCCATGTCTTGTCTTTGTCTAAAGAACCAGCCTTATGGATACACACAGAATGTGGGGTATTGAATAAGAGTGAACATTGGAAGTAGCTACTTAAATACACAGCAGCCTCAGTCTGGTCCCTTGGATTTGTTCTCATTCTGCTCTGCACAGCTCTGCTAAGAAAAGCTGCAGGTACAGGATGTGATGGTTGCATACCTACATGTAGACTGAAAGTCACTGAACTGTGCACTTGACAAGAGTGAGGGGCCATGTCGGACATGACCAGGACTCCTCACAGCCTCCCTCAGACTACACCTAACATCTGTCCTATTTCCCCAAACCTGGCCTCTGAGACGAGGCCCTAGGCAGAGGGAGGGGTCAAGGACGAGGTGCTGACCTCCTGACCCAACCTTGGCCCCTTCCCATATTCCCTGAGAGATGGAAGGGCTTTGATGTGCTTCCTCTACCTGTTTGGTGAAGATTTTGTTCTCAGCCTTCCCGACATGGACTTTAACCAGCCCCTTCCATGAGGGCCACAGTGGTGGAGAAAGCAGAAAACCTGGCTGCCGCCAAGGAACAATTCAGAGCAGCTCTCACATCCCCCCAGGGGTTGTGAATCCTTCTCATGCCTTTTTTCCTTCTCCCACCAGGTAAAAATAAACATTCACCATAAAATCTAAAACGGTTAATATTTTGGTTAGTGTTCTTGCCTTTTGTTCCCCAATATTTTTTTCTAAAATTCTCTAACAATTAATGAAGATAACAAATTATAATTTCATTAATAAGCATGGATGAATGTTAAGTTTTGACTACCTGTTAACAACTTACAAACCAACATCTTTTGATGTATGGCCGTGATTTTTAATGTATATGATAAAGGAAACCACAAGCTAAAGAAACCAACTTGATGAGAGAAGCTCCATGAAGATATACACCAGGGGTTCTCAACCCTGGGTAAAGTTCTCTCGTGAGGACGGTGTACTCAGCTGTGCATTTGTGCGTGTGTTCTGCACAAAGTGAGACAAAGCACGTGGAAGGGCTTGTGCGGTAGAGATGAAAGACATGTTAAATAGAAGCATTATTAGTGAACAGCCTGTGCACTCTGCTTTATCAATGACCCGAGAGCTGCAGAGCCTGTGGCTGAGAGCACAGCGTCTGGCAGAGATGTCTGAATTCTGGTCCAGGCCAGCCAGCTGTGAGCCCTGGAGCAAGCGATGGACACACCCACAGGTCCACATCTCTGAAGTGGAGATAAGAGAATGGTTTTGAGGGTTAAATCAAAAAATACATGTAAAACTCTCAGAATAGTACCTGACCCACAGTGAGTGCTGTGAAGAGTTAGGTATCGTTCATTTGTGTGCAATCTGTTAATGACGCCACAGTTCCACTTCCTCCCTTTTTATGACTAGGATCCCATCTCAGTGTCAATAATGACTCTGACCATCTTCATGGGAGACGACTCCTGTCTTTGGAACTGGACAAAATGTTTGTTAAATTCTGCAAAAATTAATGGAAAGATGTAGGCAAGGAAATTCTGAGAAAAGCAGTAACTTGTATGTCACAATAAAAACTATTTCAAAGACACAATAATCAAAATGGTATAGTCTTACTAAAATCAACTACAAGACAACTCAGAAATAGAGATTTCAATAGATGGTGAACAGCAAATCACAGAGGAAGAAATGAAATTCATTCAAAAAATGTTGAAAAATACTATTTGAAAATTGGTTAACTATTTGGAAAGCACAGCTATATTCTTAATCATATCACATTCCAGATAGTAAGGTGTTAGACATAAAATATTTAAAACTTTAATAAACCAGAAGAGAATGCAAATTCCTCTGCTCTTTCTCAAGGAGGCTTAAGACACTGTAAATTACTTTATGCAATAGGCTTCTCGATTTTCTAAAACTCCTCTCCAACTTATATTTTACATTGTAAACCCTCCTTGTTATCCCCACCTATAGATATCATAGCCATCTGTTTTCTTCTTAATTAACTGGGCCCGTCTTTATCCTGCCTAACCTACTTCTAGTACTAGAGATTTATTGAATGTATTGATTTATTGTGATGCTGCCATTTAACAAACTACTTTTAAGGAGAGATTGGGGTATTAAATATGAACTATTCTGCTCTGTTTCTGGACTGTATTTTCAACCTAGTAGTTAATGAGTGTATAATGAACAGGTCATCTGTAGAGGATCCTCATTGTTCCTTCTGTAATGCTGATTTCCACATGTGATCTGTGAGAAGACCGCTCCACCCAATATATTTTCCTAATTGCCTGGTGGGCAGTGTGGCTGTCAGATGTGAAGAAGTCTCCAGTCTTATCGGTTGAGCAGGCATAAAATGATGAGCAGGCGAAGGTTAATTGCAGCTTCTCAAGAGGTTGTTTTCAACGTCAGCAATACAATAGGCTTTGCAGATATGCAAACTCTGACTCTTTAGGTATAGTGATGCACTCAGACTTGATGTACCTGCAGAAAAAAATCACAAACATTGATCAGAAAGAAATCAGTCAATCTTAGAAACTTCTGAGGATCAGCCAAAACTCCATGCCACTATTAAGTTCCACGTCTTCAAGATTTACTTCAAGAGAAGTAAACATAGTGCAGTTTCCAACTACAATACATATGCAAGCTAGTTTTCCATCACGCAAGTTGAGGAGACGCTTTGCCTTGATGCTAAGGGAATCTGAGCGTCTGCTCTCCACGCCTTGGGGATGGGTAGAGAGAATCCCGATGGATGAGATAAAGCCCTGAGGGATGTCGAATGAGGGGCCCAAAGGGAAACACAGAGAACAGGATACAGGGGCGGACTCAGTGACAAGGAGATTCAGATGCACCTCACACGGGGCTTTTTTCTCTTTCGAGGTGTCCAGTGTCG